GAACGATACATTGTAGGCTAGCATCAGGAAAGCGCACCAAGGCTGCTCTGTCTTAAGACCAACGAGGAGATTACCAGGGAAGTTTCCGGGGAAGTAAAAGCCATGGTTATTTGAGCCAGACGACTACGGAGAGAATACGGAACCCGAATAAAAGATTGGACTAGGCATGATTCAAATAAAACAGCAAAAAACTTAATAGCTAGGAGGGCTTATTCCTTTTGGCAGTACCAATACAGACTGCTCACACATTTAAAGGTGAGTTATATAACACAAATACCAAACTTCTTATTACTTGAGCAAACTATTTTCAGACCATAAAAATAAGAGATAATTATATATGTATTATATAATAAGTCACAGTCATCTGACGTCATTCGTCGAACGAAAAAGCGATCAAAACCGAAAAGCATTGATAGCTATTGTAACGTGCCAAAATTGCCTTTAACTATTTCACACTCATTTTCAGTCTTCCATTAGAAATTCCTATAGATATTTAATTTTTCCCTGATTTTATTAGCCTTGTTTACATTTTTCCTTCATAAAAATTCAACAATAATACCAGTCGTTGCAGATCCTGAAAATTTTTTAATCTTTAATATTTAAATTCTATTTTCACTTCCTCGATTTCAATCAATTTTTCAATTCTATTTTCCAATAATTAGTTAATTGTAAACAAATCAAATATTTCTAATTTTTTCTTTGGGTAAGGTTTTCCAAATCGTGGTCCGTTCATGAGGTGTGTACCGCATGCTGCTCGTACTCTGTTCGGTTGCTGAACCAAGTACCAGATTTAGTTCTGCATCCGGTTCCATCATTGGTTCCATAAACCACCGGATTGCTCTCTTTGCTCTCTATTTCATACTGACACTTAAAGCTAAGTCCTCATAATCGCGAATTGCGAACTTTTTTTCTGCGGAATTGTTCCTATTGGTCCAAATTTTTTGAAATTACAATGGCGGGAAAATCTCGCGAATGTTTTCAACTTCTTGCGGCATCGCAAAAAGTTGAAATAATTTAACTTTTTGGCAAATAAACTAGCATAACCTCACTTCTTCCCAGATTATTCGCCAAAAAGTTAAATTATTTTAACTTTTTTGCGATGCCGCAAGTAGTTGAAAACATTCGCAAGATTTTCCCGCCATTATAATTTAAAACAATTTGGATCAATAGGAACAATTCCGCAGAAAAAAAGCTCGTAATTCGCGATTATAAGGACTTAGCTTTAGTCATGTCACTCATGATTTATGTGTCAGCTGACGGCAGAAATGTCGTTCATCTTTGTCAATTGGTTTTTCATTTAGTAATGTTTTTGGGATCATCGATTCCTTTGTAAGCGTTTACGTTTTGCAACACGAATTGCTTATTCAATGTCGTATTCTTCAAATTATTATTGTTCTTGTAGTTAATTACTTGTAGTTGTTATCATTAGTCGTCAGCTGTTGTCACTTTTCTCTGATTATATTGTTGTGTGCAATTTTTGGTACTTGAAAATTTTACCGATTAATTTTTGACATTTGTCGTTACTTTGCCTCATTTCTATTCTTCAATCTAGGACAGCTAATCAATTCTCTGTGGTGCCTCTTTCTTTCACGTTTGATGGTTCCGAGAAATAAGGTCTTTCTGAAGAAGTTAAATTTTGTCTTCGCCTTTGAGGGATTTTGACCCTAATATTCTCAATTATTGAATTTATGGTACATTGAGTTGCCGTACGTTGCGTTACGTTTTCGTAAAGTGCCACTATTTCACCGATGATTTCGGATTTTTACAACCATCTATTCGGTAAGTTTTGCTTTGCACGTTGTTCCCACAGTGGATGCTGACTTTCTCTATTTGATCATTAGTGAAAAGCTGCCCTAAGGAGTGTGAGTAAAGACCACCTCACTCACTCCAGGATTTCGAATCCAGACCTCGATCGAGACTAATCCAGAGTATTTTCGAGGCAAATAAAACCCATTCCAATAGGTGAGACATAACCTCTAATGACAACATATTTTCTTTGCAAACTTGAACCACATTTTTTTTCCTTTCAAATATATCTAATTCTGCTTTTTATACACAAATTATTTAAATATTTTTCAAGAGCTATAGTTTCACCTAGTAAATTAACTATCAATGGTTGACTGAGTTACATTAAAGTTACATTCATTTTCTTGTGGTTCATTTCAAAGTGCCTGGCCTTCGTTGAGGTTAAGTTAAAAATACAGAGTGCTGGAAAAGTTTTTCTTTAGGGTTTTTACTTACGGCCACAAATTTAAGCATACGGCCAGCCCTTTTTAACTAAAGCGCACACATTTAAGTGAACGGTAACCTCCATCGAAGCCTACACAGTTGTAAGGCTACCTCTACCAAAGCCTACACCTTTTTGGACGGTTATACCTTTGTTTTGGTACTGTTGAACCTGACGACTGGTTTGACCATACCAGCTTAACTCAACCTGTTGCCATCACTTGGAACATATTGGTATCATACTAGCTTTAGTTCAAGAACCCACTGTTGTCACTTTGACTTCAATTTTATACATTTTGCCCCTATTTTGTGCGCCAAAGTGATCACCGCGGTATACGTAAGGGTGTAATTCAGAAGGTACTTGTACCAAGTAACAAGATAAACAGCTATTAGGTACATTTATTTTAGCTAGGCGTAACCTTTTTCATGATTAATTTTGTCTATTTAGCTTTGGTCACATCATTGTACTGTTTGTGACTGGTAACCGATCTAATAATCATTTTATTTTTATTTTATTTCCATATTCTCTCCTCAACTTTTGGTTAACACATTTTGTATTTTAAACTTTGGAATTTAAATTTAATTTGGATTATTAATTGTGAACCACAATTGCTTTAAGAACATTTCCATATATTTCTTCTCTATAGCACTTGAATTGATTGAGTTTTATTTGGTTTTATGCACTCAGCCCAATACTTATTGTTATTAATATATTTTTTTTATTTTAATAATTCGAACAAGTTGTAAGGACCTGGAGCCAGATAAAATCCTGGAGACTCCGACTGAGTCGGTGGCGCCCAAAACATAACCCACCCCTACTCTCCGAATTCTGAGCGAGGGCTTAATTTGCACGTACTTTGACCTTCAATCCTGCAATCTTGATTATTTATTTTTTAATTTTCACTTTAAATTGTTTAACATAGAAAAAGCGTGGCACTACATTTGAAAATGATCAATTGTAGGGCCTTGATCAAGACAAGAAGGCTTTTTCACATACATGCTACTACAGGAAAAGATGCGGAGAAAATGCTCGCTTTTGTGTACTGACGAGAACCAATGAGTTCGACACCGAGCACAGTGGCGAAGTATCCAATGAACTCGATTTTTCTCTTCATTGTCTTATAGGGCCACTTATTACTAGTGCATGTCTCGAAGCGACACAAACTCATGGTATGACGGATTTGTACACTTGGCGCTAGTATCATGACTTTCGCATCTTCAAAATATTCTGATCGGATTTTGTCGGAAGATACACATACTGAATCTACCAGAAGAAATAAGCATACTTATAATATGAAGGAATGCCTGGCGTCTGTTTTTTTTAGCAAGGGCAAAAATTAGAGGACCGGCAAATGAATCCAACGGTTAGGAAAACTATTCTTCTAAAATATGGTTGTAGCAGCTTGTTAGCATCCTCTAACTTTATTCAAATTGTTTCTACATTAAAATGTAATCTAAAAAATAATCCGACTGGGCAAGCTTAAATTTCAAGCGAAAATTAGTTTTATTAGCATCCTGAGTTACAAGGAGTAGAATTGAGAAAATCTGTTCACCCTGTTATTGGTGTACAAGTTGTCAACAACGATATTATAATAAAGGTTTTCATCATATTTCTTTGATCGGATAATTTATCATAAAAAATAGCTCCATTCCGTTGCCCAGCTTCGACGTTTTACGCAAATATTACGGGTGATGCAGCATCTTACAGCGAGTGTCATCAGCTAAATTCCCCTCTTAATGTACCTATTTGAAATATACCGGTAAAACAATGCAAACAAAGCATGTCGCCCTTCTGAAGCAAGAATAATATATTATGTTATTGATTGCTCAGTAAATATTTGATACCAAACTGCTAATTTATATTTTTTTTACAAGGAAATTTCCTAGATTCCTTCCCATTATTATTTCTTCGCATTCCTCATGACAACAAGTGATGAAATTTTGATGCCTAATTATATTATTATTTTGCTAATCATGAACAACTGAAACGCGGTAAAAAAAAAACAGAGTTTCAAATTTTTGTGTAGCCATGTTGTCATTCGCCGAGCCCTTAGGTTAATTTTGTACGCAGAAAATTCATGTTGAATTGAATCAGATCTTACTTAGTAGAAGTTCATTTCCAATTGGAGATTTGAGAGTATTAGATATACTTCATGTCTTCACGCTGTAACTTTCTGAAAAGTATAAAAATTAACTAAAATAATGAAAATAATGGCATTACAAAAACTAGGACATATCTACTGGTTACCTAGTTGACGTCTCAGAGCTGTCATTAATTTAAATTATTCTCTCTATATTTTATACTTCGGATGAGGCTATGGTGTAGCAAAACATGTCATGATTCAATTAGTTAGGTAGTCGAAATATAGAGTATATATGCTACTTCTAGATCTTCATTATTTATGGACCTGTTTGTTTAGCGCAATGTTTTTAGCCTGACCTTGACACATTTTTTCAAATATCCGGAACTTTAAAATATGCTATCGTTATTTAAAATATTAAATATCTCAAAAGAGTCTAGGTATATGTAGCCAAAAGCTATTTTCATTCTATACATTTTGAACTTTTTCTTTATATGTTTGATCAACAATAAAGCAGCAATATTTCCCTGGAACATCAATTTTCCAAAGGAAACGTTTCCAATATAAGGGCTTATCAAAATATCAAAAGCCAACAAACCGCAAACTGCTTGTTCTATACTTCTTATACTGTATTAAAGAGCAAAACAGCAAACGACTAGACAAATTACGTATTTGAAGGAGAATTTTATTTACCGTAGAGTCTGATGGAGCCTTCGGTTTCCCCGAGGGAATTTTTCGAGATGCACCGATAGTTGCCGAAGTCGATCGTCTGGAGGTTTCGGACAGTCAATTTCATGTGTGCCCTGGAACAGAATTCACGAATTATTAATGCATCAAAATTGGATTTTTCGCCAACGAGGAACACACGTAGCATGAGTTTTAGCGCTACGTTATACTACACACAAATATATGCCTAATCCCGCTCAATGGCTTGACCTTATTCTCTTTTTTGACTTTCTACAACAACTTTTTTATACAGTGTGTAGTAGTGAAATGGAATAAGCTCGATACTAAATAAATGGGGAAGTTTTCGAAAAAAGGCTAGGACACGCTGATTTTGTTTTTTTTTGCTTAGGATTTTTTCACACCAACTTTTTTATACAGGGTTTTCCAAGAACAGCTTAACGGTTATCAACTTACTTTTTTTTTAAATAGCACCCTAGCACCCCCTGTATATTATAACATTTCTGGATTCTGCGGAAGATTGCAGACATATTTCATGTACAATGTTATATACCTATCTTCAACTGTTTCGAAAATATTGACATTTGAGAATTTACTTTTTTGCAACTTTGACAGGCTGTGAGACGTAAGATTGAATTTAACCGGAATTTTTATTCATGTATTAAGATTATGAAAAACTAAGACAAGAGTGTATGATAGGTTTTGCTGTGAAATCAACCGTTGAGGTTTTACAGTCTGCCAAAGATGCAAAAAGGTCAATTTTCAACTGTCAATATTCCCGAAACAGTTGAAGATAAGTATAAGACATTGTACATGAAATACGTCTAAAATTTTCCGCAGAATCCAGAAATTGATAGAGTGTCTTCATTCGGGGTTAATGGCCGTCGTAAGTTGGAATTTCTTCCTGACGTTTCGCTAGCGCGCGTGGCTAGCATCTTCAGAGGTGCTTCCATGTCCACGTACATACCTGAAGCTATATTGAAATCCACAAACATACGAAGAAATTCAACAGGAGAGAAGAAACACTAAAACTTAGCCAAATGTGGAACCCGATCCTCAAAAACGCAAAAAAGATCCTATTGAGTAAAGAGAAAGTTCAGATTAGCCACGTGCTGCGAAGCCCCGCCCCTCCACCACTCACACAAAAATACAACTTACGGTCGGGAACGCTTCAGTCTACTACCCGAATCGGACATAGAAGCACCTCTGAAGATGCTAGCCACGCGTGCTAGCGAAACGTCAGGAAGAAATTCCAACTTACGACGGCCATTTAGCCCAAATGAAAAAACCTTATCAATAAACCTTGGCCGCGAAAGCCTCACAAACTTTATAAATTCAGAAATGTCATAATATACCATTTAAAAAAAAATAGGGTTGATAATCGTACCGCTGTTCGTGGAACACCCTGTATAAAAAAATTGGTGTTAGAAAATCTCAAGCAAAAAAACAAACCCTACGTGTCCGACCGTTTTTTCGAAAAGGCCCCCATTTATTTATTATCGAATGTATCCCCCTCGGCTGATGTATATGTATATTTCACTTGTATTTGTTCAATTTCATATTTTTACAGACACAAATAATGGAGCAGCCTAAAAAATATCAATATTGCGTAAACAAGGAACAGAAATTGATTTTTCACCAGGGCATACTTCCGATGTTTATTTAGGTCGGAATCAAAAATTGGCCGTAAGTGTAAGTATACTACTGTCTAATCTCAAAGATAGATCATACATGCAATTTTTATAATTCATTGTAGCCAAAACAATACCGATATTGCATTTTGGTTTAAAATTATAATTGGGATATTTCGTCATGAGAGAACCACATTTGTTGGATAAATAAAATTGGTATGTGGACCACCGGACTAAATATTTTAAACAAGGTAATTAATGAGGCAATTGCTTAGCATACCAAATTGCAATCACCTCATAGATACATACCAAATTAGAACTGTATATAAATAATAAATTGAGATTCAACTAACTTATAATCATTGTGTCTCACTACACTCCTTACGGCGTCAGCCCTTAAGTCTCACCCACGACTTCTACTAAAAAAACCTACATTAAGGGCTCACTGCACCTGCAGATTGTTAGATGAATGTGAAATATAATTTTGCAAACCAAAGATTTCTGAAAGGGAAAAGCTATTATTGAAAATTTATTTTCCAACTTAAACTTTTTGAACAATATACAGATCATTTTTAAAGTTTCAATTATTATTACTAACATTAATAACATCTCCAAAGAAGTTAATTTTTTTTCTTAAAAACACTTATTTGGCTTCAATTATAGGTTGACAACTCTCTTCAGTCTTTGCCATCACCATGACATCATCCAAGTATGCCAAGCACGTTCCCAAGTGAGTTCTCAAAAGTGGCTGGTGCATTGCATAATCCGAACGGCATAATATTAAATTGATAAAGGCGGACTCCAGTGTTAGAGACGGTCTTCTCTCTATCTTGTTCATTGAGTTCCTTCTGCCAATATCAACTTTTTAAGTATAAAGTTGCAAACCATTTGGATTTTGATAGGGTATAAAGAACCTTGTGGAACCGTTTTTCATTTTTCTTGGTAAGTAAATAGTTCGACTGTTAACTTGGTGTCGCTTTGCGCAGGAAAGTTTTCGTTGTGGTTGGCGAATAGGTGCGAGGCTTCCTATGTTGTTGCGATATTCTACTTGATTACTTCGCATAGTAATTTTTCCTTGCGCAAAGACATCAGCCTGTTCTTTCTCAATATATAAGAATGATTCCAACTATTTTTGAAGTTCTCCATCAGCTAAACAAGTAAGTGAATTCTATTTGACATTTGACATAGACTCCTCTTAGGCCCATCTCCCTACTCGGATAGCTTGTGTACATCTACCGATAGGCTCCTCTTTCTCAAATGTCACCTGGTTTATCGTCAATTTGGCTCACCCATTGGAAAACCCTGATTGGAGTTGACTAAACAATATGCCACAAAGGTTCCATTCTACCCGTTTTCCCTTGGTTCGACTGCCGTGGTGTTCACGCCTTATAGTTTTCTCTCTAGGTGTGAACCTTCACGATTCTGATATGCTTGGTAGCAGATTGGGTCTTACTTCAACCGATGAATTGCCACACGTTGCTAATAGTCTCTTAGTTATTTCTCTCTTATGTACTCCTGAATCACCAATATAGCCTCCTGCGATTACTGAAGGATGCATGAAACAGCCAGCTCGTGGTGAATGAAGATCTTCGTAGGTACATTAAACACTACTAATGATACATCTACTTCTTCTCGACATAGTACCGCAATCCCAGAAATGTAATAAAGCAACCTACAAATCAATACCTACCATCAATCGGTCAACGATTATTTTGTTAGATCAATCAGCGATATTTCAATTTAATACCTTCGTCACTAATTGAGATCCATTAGGAGCATTGTTAGGAAAATGATGAAGTTGATTACTCATGTAAAAATCCTTGATTTCTCATCTGTGTAACCTTTTGAGTTTTGTTCCAGATAATATGAAATTAATTTGGAGTATTCTGAATTATCCATATTGGTGCTATCTTATTATTTTCTTTCAAAATATTGAATTTAACGACTATATTGTCGATTACCGTTAAGTATTTTTCCCCCTTCTGCCTGCCACTTTTCAAATATCGAATACGCATATCGTCTATTTTTCTTGATTTGTCTGGCAATATTTTCGATGGAGTTTTTTTTTGCTGCATCTTCTTACTCTGGGTGTGGTACAAAAAAGAAACACAGTCGGGATCCATCATTGCGCTATATACAGGGTGATTCCAAAATGGCGTAAAAACTCTCCACTACGTCGTAGAGGACCCTTCAGGAAACTCCAGAAAACTTGTGAAAATCCTTTCCGACCAATCTTCGGGATATGAAGAAGTAAAGTTGAGAAGTCAATTTCTTTATTCCCGATTTTTTTTTAAACTGCGATATTTCCTATAAAGTGCCAGGTGTGTTTTATTGATCTATGATAAAAAAAAAAACATTAGTGGGATTTTACCTTTTATAATGAATTCTTCAAACTGTAAAATCTCTACCTCAAATGCAAAAAATGAATCTGGCAACTCACCTGCTAAGATATTAATTAGGTAGGTAGTGCCGGTTAAGGTAATAAAATTAGGACCAAGCACAAGGTTCATTATTAGAACATAAGTATAATCCAATATAGGTCGAAGTATTTGAGATGGTTTCAATTTTACTACTCCGTGTTCTTATAACTTTGTTAACAGTAACTTTATATTGTTTTAACCATTTTTCTGGGGTTCCGTGAAGGGTCCCTCGCGACGTAGTGGAGAGCTTATACGCCATTTTGGAATCACCCTGTGTATAAACTTGAGATAAAGCTAACAAATTAAAATATATTACTCAAATTCCGAATTTATTCTATTGCTAAGCACAGTTACGAATTTTCCAATTTTATTATGTTGCGATATTTTACACTGGCCACAAGGCCACAGAATATTCTCCCTTCGCGTACTCTCCTCCATTTTATAATAAATGACTCTAATTAAAAAAAAAAAATGCAGTTGTCAGTTATTATATTTACTTACATATAGCTATTTTCAGTCAATTCAGATCCATATTTTTTGGTTGGTAACAACATTACGTTTTCACGAACCCAGTAACTAATTGCTTTTGGATGTGCTTCAGTATGGCAATCTAAAGTTACATCAGTACCTGCTGGAGCTCCAACAAGTTGATTTGGCACCCAAATCATTGGTGGAACTAGAAAAAAAAAGAAACTGGTTAATGCAAGATATTATTGACATTTCAGATTTTCTTTATCACAAATAAAAAAATGTAATCGTTCCCACACATATTTTTTGATTGGTAAACATCCGACGTTCATCAAAATAAAATGTTATTTCTCACTGACTGTCTTTTCTTTATCGAAAGGCTTTCCACTTATCTAAATAAACACTTTGTTATATTAAGCAGTTCAATAAAAACGCGGAGTTCCCGTGACACTCCACTCCCCAGTATAACTTGTTTTTCGGGTGACAGATATGAGATATAAACATGACCCGCTGAGAAATGAATAGCTACAAGATGTCACAAATATAACGCGTTCAAAATGGCGATGGCGGCCGCCATACGGGCTCACCGTAGGAATATGTCCGGAAAATATACGTTTGCTTGGCAGAAAATATGTGGAAAATACAATAAATTGCCTTTTACCTTAACAGCAACAAAAATGATTTCTATTTTATATCTACGAAAGCGCTTGCCAGACAGGTAATTTCTCTATGAACACATGCTTTTAAGGTTTAGGGAAACGTAAACCGTGTAACAAATATCCTTAATGTCAGTCGATTTATGTTTTGGCTTGGCTCATAAAATAAAAACTAGCTTGAAGTCTACGTTTTTAACTGGCTTTTATACTCAACAACACTTATATGGTGATTATTGAAACCAACACCTTCTTCAGATAATATTTCAATTTTAACGAGTATTTCAATTTTTTCATATGCATAGAGTAGGGAAAGAAGGAGGTGGAAGTTTCGAGAGTAAGTTGTTCCGAAGTTCGGAATATAGTTCTGAAGCGCGTAGCAAAATGTCACGTCACTATACAGTCGCGACAGTGATTCTAGTTGATCACAAGAGGCATGGTTGAATTATTAAAAGTCACCAAAAAAAAACGGACTCGAATGGATTTGGATCTAGGGCCTCTTGATTTCCAGTCTCACGCTCCAATAATTGAGCTACTGGCCTCCGGTTTATTTCTACCCGATTGGTCAAGTATTTCCTCTATTTTCAAAATGTTAGTGATGCAATGAGCAGGATTCGGCGGTTAGCGAAAGTCGGAGTGGTAATCCAGAGGTCTACTCTAACCACAAACTGCACTGAAACTTTCTTGACGTATACAATGAGTTTGTATTGATTCTGGTCAGGGCTCAATTACACAATACGTGCGGTTAGACCCTGTAAGACAATGAAGAGAAACCGTATTCTCATTCATCGGGCGCTGGCTAGTAGCATGCCGGTTTCGAGTTTGGTGTAAAATTTGGTCTGCGAATTTCAATTTGCTCTCTATGGAGTCCTCGATATAACCCTCGGCAACCGTCGAGGATTTCCAACCTCCATGTCTTTTGAGAGCTAATACTTCTACGCCGCTATTTGCAAGAAGCGTCGCAGAAGTTCTGCGAAAAGCATGTCCAGTGTATTGAGAAGGATTTTGCAAATTTAAAAATGTGGCAATTTGTGCTGGCCATTTTCCTATGGTATTCTTTCCTACAACTTGATTAGTGCAAAAGCCGTTTCGAATTTTTAAGAATAACTTGTTTGATTTTGCGGTTTTTTGTCGTAGTTCGATATATTTCCAACAAATCTCCAAATAATCCACTCGCTGGTCTTCTTTACCAGTGATGGTGAAACTCCTTTGAATATTGGTTTTTGTATTGGGTATTTTAACAAAAATGAACGTTTCCTGATTATCTATGTCTTGTAAAGTCAAATTACAGAATTCCTCCCTTCTGCATGCTCCAGCTACACCAAATATCATGCCTATCTACGAAAAAACAACAAATTAATTCTTTGCATTGTTAAAAACACAGGTAAATTAACTCACTTTCAAAATCAAGTATCTATCATCTGGTGCCTCCATTAGAAACCTGTATAAATCCTCCTTTGTGAAAACTTTAGATTTTTTCGGTGTATGGCCAACGTTTTTTCTTTTCAGAAAGGCAATTAAAGTTGCGTATTTCGAAATGTCAACATTTTCCTTCAGAAAAAGTGTCGCCTTCAGCATGGAATACTCAGCCCATAAGCTTCCAGGTGATTTTAACTTCTGATTTCGGTGTACAAAGTATGCCAAAAGCACTTTCTCCGAAACAGCCCAGTTTTTGTCAACGCACCACTTCTTAAAGATTTCAAAGGTTTTTTCGTACCGTTGCCTTGATTTTTCCGGAATCACAGCGTCACAACCAATATTCCAAGCATTTTCCAGTTCACTATCACTATTTTCACTCATATTTCTCCTTAAATTTCAAAAAAGCGTATTTGCAGCTTGCAACCGTATTGTTTGAAAGCGAGTTTTGCGTAACTAACACAAATAAACAATTTGAGAAGCACCATAACAACCATACCAACCATTAGAAACAAGTAGTCCAGCCAACTATAATAATAATAATAATTGTTATAGATAATGTGCGGTGGTGGATAACCATGGAAATAAGAGTTGTGATTTTTGGAAGCGTTGCAAATACAAAAGTTGCCAATTTTTCATTGGGAACGCGCCTTTATAGGAGGAAGACAATTCTATTTTTGAAAATGTCAATTGGATGCCATTCTATAAATTAAGTTTTTGAACTGGAATAGCCCGATCGTGCATAAAACGTAATAAGTATTTTGGGCGTTAAGTGTCGTTAACCGCCCTCGAATATTGAAGACCTCCGCTACGCGTCGGTCTTCAAACAATCTCGGGCGGTAAACGACACTTACCGCCCTTAATACTTAAATAACTATTCCTGACTATCGACATGTAATAAAACATTATGTTTTTTATTACATTGTTGACATGCCCTATATGTACAATTACTTACTCTGTGTCCTGGTTTTAAGCAATTCCAACAAACTTTTGATTTTTCCACAGCCTCCCGCTTTCCCACTAAATTTAAACCCAAAAATTTCTTACAGAGATATAATTGATGGAATTCCTTGGATTTGCAAACCGGACAACTTGTGTTTTCTACAAAAAATGATCTAGATGTGCCCTTTTTACCCAAAAATTTATGTGAAAAATCTGTATTTCCTTTGGACATCCTTTTTTCCTGTAATCGCAACAACTCTGTATTATTTTCTGTATTTTCTGGCTGAATTAATTTGCACCTATGCGATAGAAAATTCAAGAATTTGTCCATAGTAGGAAATTCGTTCAACTTTATTTCTCTTTTCCATGCTCTTTCACTGTCTGGATCTAATTTATTTTCTAAACTAAAGATCAGAATTGTGTCCCAATTATCTACGTTTTGCCCTAGTAGTCGGGGAGCAGACTGCCAAAAAGACGTCTCCTACACATTGAACTGTGCACTCGAAGATATACGTTTTAAAAAATATGTACAGTGTGGAGAATGACCTTGCGGATCTAAACCCGGAGGGCTCCATTAAATTCGTAATTGCAATTAAGAAGAAAAAAATATTTTCCGACAATTTTGAATTATCATAAAAAAGCTATTTTTTGTGTTTAACTCACGATTGTGACGCCATTTTTCAATATTTTTTCAAAATTCTTGAACCAATTGAAAGCCTAGTTATTGTAGATTTTACCTGCATGTGCAAAAAACTATTTTTTTTTTCTGAATTTGTCAGATTACGTAAAAGAAAGCGAGGTACCAAAACTGAAGTGAAATTTTCAACATCGGGAAAATTTTTGAACGGTTGAAGATAAATATATGATCAATCAACAAAAATTGTGCCTAAATAAGTGAGGCAGTTTTTAGTAAATATAAATTTGCACTAGTGATAACGGTTTCCGAGATACGATTTTTTTTTGTGAAACGCCGATGCGCGCAGGCCGTTGCAGAAAAAACCTACACTACCTACTTAACTATCTTCAATATCAATTTATTAACAACAAACTTTAAGTAAAATCTAGTTTTTTATTTAAGATAAAAGTCAACAAGATAATGTTAGCAATACAAAGTAACACACATTTTTCACTTAAGGTTCTGTTAAAAAAAAAACAGACTTTATAAATTATATGGCATAGATACCTCAGCAAATACTTCTAAAATACTGCCTGAACTACACTTTTCCCACCACAATAAGGCTTGCACTAGAATATTTGCCATTATCCAATCATCCAATACTTGTCAAACCTACAGTACCATCAAATAATAAATAGAGTACGCCGATACCGACATATTTGTTCTTTCTCTCTACTTTACTACAAAGGTTATCCATTCAGGAATTATGACTACACAAATTTGAAACATAATACCTGTGCACCACATCATAAAAGAATTATCTACAAATAAATCTTGCTCAAATCGATTTGAGTAACGATATAGAATTAAAGGCACTAGATTACTTCACTACAATACTTTAATGAGTTTCGAAAACGCAGCTAGGTATTTTTTCAAAATTTTGTATGGTAAGTCATCATTTACAGCCGTTTTAAAGAAACAATATGTCATGCGCACATCTATTTCATACCTGTAAATCTGATATAAGGAATTAGCCACTCACAGAGGATGCATTTCATCAGCAAAATCACTATGTGCCTACTATTAAGAAAGAACTGCCTAGGAAATAATTGTGTGGAAGAGTGCGATTTTAATAAATCCAGAAATTCCCAACCCAGTTAATTTTGGTTGGGATCTGAAAGATATTAAAATTAACCATAAATATCCATACCGATGTAAGATTCGAAAATGGTGCTGCAAATGCAAACTCCAGAGAGGCACTAGAAACTAAACTGTAGTTGTTTAAAAGGAGGGCTGAATGATATAAGAGGTTGCCATTCTGGAGGCGGGTTTTATTTAAATTAAAATTAAATAAGTTTTAGTGACCTAATTAGGTTTTATAGAAATGTCGGTCCTTATAGAATAAAGAAGTACTGTCGAAGTTGGGCCGCGCTGGGGTCAGGGTACGGGCAACGCGTTCATTGAGATCAATGCGGCAGCGGCCGGCGCGTATCGTCGTTGCAAAAAAAATCATATCTCGGAAACCGTTATCACTAGTCAAAATCTCTTTTCACCAAAAACTTCCTCACTCATTTAGGCACA